TTCGCGAAATAAAAAAGGTATAAAGTATGAAAACTTTTATTTATACGTTTCGACACAAGATGCGTGTCATCATTCAGCAACACAGGACAAAAACACTCAATAAAAACTTTATTTTAAAAAATTAAACTGATAACATATTAGAAACTCAACTCAACTGTGACAGTTGGTATGGTGCTCGGTATGGGCGTGTTTCTTGCCTCACAATGTTAATTTCAAACTTTTAATCAAATTAGTTTTCAAATCTTTTAGTTTATTCATCATATTTTTTTTCTACAAAAATGTTTTTTTTTCTAATATGTTATCAGTTTAATTTTTTAAAATAAAGTTTTTATTGAGTTGTTTTGTCCTGTGTTTCTGAATGATGACACGCATCTTGTGTCGAAACGTATAAATAAAAGTTTCATACTTTATACCTTTTTTATTTCGACGAATGGGCTGCTAGTTACTTTGAAATATATATATATTATATATATATCTATAATATATATATATATATAGAAATTTTATGATATGAGTGGAACGAATATTAATTGTTTAATATGAACAAACAGCACTCAATTTGTTTAAAACACACTTTATTTTATGATTACAACGTTTCGTCGAGACCATGGTGTGTCTCATCTTCAGTGTAATTTCAAAAACAGTTACTTATATACTACACATTCTTTAATAATTTATTTAAATTTCATTTAATTTTTGGTATACAAAAAACCCCAACTATTCCTTGCAATGCTTGACACAATACTAAAGAACATATAACACTTACAGAAATATTCTAACAAATTTGAAGTACTTATATAGATGGAGACAGAGAGGGTATCATTATAATGTAAACAAAAGGAGTGCTATCGCATACAAAATCGATAAAAATGAAAAACAAATTATTTATTGAAAAGAATAAATAAATGAAAAAATTATAAATTATTAATGATGTTTATATAAGTGTCATGTAAATATTTGTGTCGGTTCTTAGATTTATGCTATTGTTAGTCCGAACTATTAACATTGATTCTGCCATGCTCCGTTTAAATAAGTCTTTCTCATGGAATAAAATTTGGGGATTGTCAAAATCAAACTTATGGTTGTTGATATTAGCATGATCCACAAGTGTACTTTTAAATTTTTTGTTATCTATTTTTTCACATTGTAATTCATGTTGCCTGAGTCTCTTTTCTAAGTTCTGGCAGGTCTGGCCAATATAAGAGCAATTACAATCCAAACAATTTACTTTATAAACTATATCTTTCTTTTTTGTTAATGGAGTGTTTTTTGTATACCAAAAATTAAATGAAATTTAAATAAATTATTAAAGAATGTGTAGTATATAAGTAACTGTTTTTGAAATTACACTGAAGATGAGACACACCATGGTCTCGAAACGTCTGTAATCATAAAATAAAGTTGTGTTAAACAAATCTGAGTGCTGTTTTGTTCATATTAAACAATTAATATATATATATATATATATATATATATATAAAAGGTTTTTTAATAAACTATTTCTTTCTTTATTTATTTATTTGCTGTCGACGTTTCGGAACTAGGTACGTTCCATCTTCAGTACATCTGTCAAGAAACATGATCTTGATGAAATTTAAGCAAACAATATGTTTAAGAAAAGAAAATGGATTTTTCTTAAATAATAAATTAGTTGAAAAAATAAAATAATAATGTACAGAAATATAGTAATATGATCAAAATGAAAATGATAAAAATAAATTACAAACAGCCGATCTCATAACATCGAGAGAATAATATATTGTTTGGTCTTCAAATAACGATTTTAAAAAAGACAGAACTTATAGTAATTTTGATTTACTAAATTTACCTATTCGGCTGACAAATAACTCATAAATTCAATTTTTGATAAAATCTTTTTTAGTGAAAAAGTAATAACGTATATTCAAACATACAGGTAATTAATTCAATTCTGTCATTAACCTTTTCTTAAAATTTTCCAAAACTTTCAAATTTTTTTTATCATTTGTAATATCCTGTTATATAATCCACTCATTTATTTTTATCATTTTCATTTTGATCATATTACCATATTTCTGTACATTATTATTTTATTTTTTCAACTAATTTATTAATTAAAAATCCATTTTCTTTTCTTAAACATATCGTTTGCTTAAATCTCATCAAGATCATGTTTCTTGACAGATGTCCTGAAGATGGAACGTACCTAGTTCCGAAACGTCGACAGTAAATAAATAAATAAAGAAAGAAATAGTTTATTAAAAAACCTTTTTTTTTTGTTTTTTATTACTTTTTGGATTCTTGTTCGAAACTCTACAAAATATATATATATATATATATATATATATCGATATTCAAAAAAAAAAATTTTTTATAAAAAAAATTTTGAAAAAAAAATTAGAAACAAAAATTTTTTTCCAAAAGCAATTATTTTGTTGAAACAAGCAGAAAGTTCTTTGAATCATTAAAATCGGACGCTTAGTTCTCTCAAAAACTGCCATTTTTTGTACATTTAGCTCCGTATCTTCGAAATAGCTGGGCCTGCCTTTGCGAAAAACTAATAACCACTTCTCCCAATCATTACTAATTGAATGTTTTTAGATCATTCAAATCGGATGCTCCGTTCTCTCAAAAACTCGATTTCTATTTTCTGCACTCTTTGCTCTTTATCTCCGTAACTGCTGGACCTGCCTTTGCCAAAAACTAATCAGCACATCTCCTTATCAATAGGAATCGAATGTTTTTTGAACCATTCAAATCGGTTGATCCGTACGCCCGAAAACGTGGGCGAAAAATTGTATCCATACATACATACACACACACACACACATACATCCATTTTTTCTGAAGTATGCCAAAATGTTCAGAAACCTTCAAAACGTCGAGAAATGTAAAAATTTTCAATTCCGATTTTCGGCCCATTACAATAACTTAAAGGAAGTTAAAAAATAGTATAAAGAAAAGTATAAACTGTTATCAAACTTCTAATCAGAATTCTGATTCTAATCAGAATCTATTCACACTCCAGTGCCTCATTTTTAATTTTAGAGGGATTTTAGGAAATAATAGCTACATCATTCAACCAATGCAAATATAAATTTTATGGGTACATTTTTACAGTGATACTACATTATATAGCATTGATCTGGTATTTTGCCAGAAATAATAATTAGCAGATTTGGAATACCTATTTATTTAACTTATCATTTATGAAATTGATTTTTTAAAACTTAGATTTCTTGGGTTTTCACTATTTTTCTTGTTTACACCTTTGCCAGGGTAAAGATTCAGATGGTACTTTTTACGATACCCACATGTACCCTGTTATATTAGTTGTGTAAAAAAACTAATGAATCTAACTTAAAAAAAATAGCAATACATCTTATAAAACATTTGAATTACGTGGACTTATTCAAAGTCTCGTAATCTAAATAACAGTGCTCACAACCAAAAAATTAAACATAAACTTCTCCTTCGGGAAGTTAATAACTAAAGAAAATACATTTTTTATGTCGATTATCTCCCATTACCTCCCACGTCGTAAAATTCAAGGTGATGGCTGGTCACACATCTTTATCCATCTTTCAAATATTGTTATTAACTAGTGGTGTATGGCATCGTACCTTAAGGCAAATTGCTGGAACTTTCCGTACCGTAATGAAATATTCGAGAAACTTTAAACGTTTTCAAATATATTATTAGAAATACTGTAACTTTCATTATTTTTGCTATCTTGTTATATCTGATCAAATCAAATGTAAATCATAAATAAATCAATTTATCTCCAGAACATTAACAATCGTCATTTCATTTCGAATTCATTTTCAAAAAAATTGAAAGTTGCCTAATTTACACAAAATTGAAAAAGTGCTAGTCACAGTCTAAACGCATTTGCAAATAATTCTGTGCGACATTTTCACTTATACTATGCTTAGCTTGGCGGCATTTTCACATTTTTCAATAGTTTTCACAAAATTGGAAAAGTGCTCCAGTACATAAACAGTCTAAACGCACTTGGGTAAACATTTGTACCAGAGTGGCGTTTAGACTGTGCTTAGCCTGGGTAATTTTTTGAATTTTTAATCCAAAATTACAAAAATATTTTTGAATAAAAAAATTAGAAACATTTTTTTTCCAAAAGCAATTATTTTGTTGAAACAAGCAGAAAGTTCTTTGAATCATTTAAATCGGACGCTTAGTTCTCTCAAAAACTGCCATTTTTTCAACATTTAGCTCCGTATCTCCAAAACCGCTGGGCCTACCTTTGCCAAAAATTAATAACCACTTCTCCCAATCATTACGAACTGAATGTTTTTTGGATCATACAAATCGGATGATCCGTTCTCTCAAAAACTCGATTTCTATTTCCTGCACTCTTTGCTCCCTATCTCCGTAACGGCTGGACCTGCCTTTGCCAAAAACTAATCAGCACAACTCCCTATCAATATGAATCGAATGTTTTTGAAACCATTCAAATCGGTTGATCCGTGCGCCCGAAATCGTGGACGAAAAAATGCGGACATACAAAACACACACATAAACACACACACATCCATTTTTTCTTAGGTATGCCAAAATGTTCAGAAACCTTCAAAACGTCGAAAAATGCAAAAATTTTCATTTTCGATTTTCGGCCCATTACTATAACAACCCTACGTGAAGTTAAAAAATTCTGAACTTCACTTGTTTTTGAGATATCGGTGGTGGACCTTCTTACCCGCGGACTTTAAAGCCCCTGCTCTATCCTATAACATTCCGAACAACTAACAATAATATGTTTTAAATAATTATATAAAGTAATATATAAAAATATTTAACAAATTCATTAAAATCACAACAAAAAATAAAGTTTTTTCTAACAATGTATGCACAGATAAAATATGATGATTAAAATTTCAATAGTTGAATACATCAATAAAAATATTCAAAAGACTTCTTACCACACTTTGAAAATATGGGACATCCTTATCTAAATTCTTGTGATCTAGAGGCTGCATAATTGCTTCATCCATATATTTCTTCAGTTCTGAGATATTCATAACCATTCCTGTGTGCGGATCAACAGGCCCTTTAAGAACTACTTCGACTGAAATTAATTTCGGTTTAAGTTCTAAAAATATTGCTTATTTCATATTTTTATTTTCTTAAAATTAAATCATAAATTCTATCATAACAAAACTGCATTAAACGCAATTTACCTTATCCCAAAAGAAATACCCATACACTATTGGCAGACATTTATAATAATATAATTCAAATAATATTGTTAATAAACTAGTTGGTAATAAGTACTCTATGTTATATCAAGTAAATCGTCTGATTTTAATTATAACAAACGTCAAAAAAACACTCATTTTCTCAAACTTTGATGAATTTTTAAAACTAAACTACTTGTCGGCCGTAATATTTATTACTAATAAGTTTTATAAGACCATGATGGCCAAAAAAAAGTTCCATAAAAATCGGCTTAAATTTTTTTCAACAGTTAATTACAAGAAAATTCCCAAATTATATCTTTCGAACAGTTTTTGATTTTTTAAAATCGATTCGGTAGTATGAGCTCAAATGTGGACGAAAAGTTCAACACTTTTTTACCAAATTACAAAGAAATGGCTCGGCCGATCGCTGCACAAAACTGAGAAAAGATAATCTACATCAAATACATCGATTGGCTTTTAAATGTTTGAAATTGGTTCAGGCGTTTTTGAGCAAACGTCGACGAAAGTTATAATTTTGACAAAAGCCAAACAATCGACACTAATTTTTGCAAACTTTGACGATTTTTTTAAAATTAAACGACTTGTCGAAGACCGTAATATTTTAGTATGATCTATAAGACTATGGTATCTACCGTCAAAGAAAAATTCATAAAAATCGTCAAAAAAAATTTTTTTTAAATACTTTATTACAAGAAAACGGCCCGTCCGATCTTTACCAAAAACTAATCAGCACGATTCCCAACCGATGTCTTTCGAACGGTTTTTGAATTTTCAGAATCGATTCAGAATTGCGGGCTAAAACGTGGACGAAATTTTTTTCACTTTTCTGCGATTTACAAAGAAACGGCCCGGCCGATCGTCGCACAAGACTGAGAAACGCTAGTCCTCATCGAGATACATCGAATGGCTTTTAATTTTTGAAATCGGTCGAACCGTTTTTAAGAAAACGTCGATTTACGGCAAAAAATCTGTTCACAAACACGCACACACACACACATACACACACACAAACTTTTTCCAAATTTGTTCTCACTCGATTCAGAATGGCTTGAAACGTCGAGAAAACATAAAATTAGCGAATCGGATTTTTTGATAAAAACATAAACTTCTCCTTCAGGAAGTTAATAAACTTTAACTCATTTTATTTATTATTCAATTTTATGTGTAATACTACACAACAATTTTTACAAACATATCTTGTTTCGGTCAGCAACGTTCGGCCATAATAACACGAGTTAACTCGAGTCAACTAACAAAAATAGAGTATAGATAAGTACCATAGAAAATTAAGGGGGTATTTGGGTGTATATTCTAGTGTAGAGCGATGAATTTTAGGTCATTTTTAAAGTATCGTAAAAGAAAGCAATGAATGTTTTTACTATCCATTTTTTACCACTTGTTTATTAATATTATTAAAATACAATACAAAAATTAAAAAATAAAGTTGAAAATTTTAAAAACTGGCAGCTGATGAAGTGGGTGGTCTCAAAAAATTGGCACCTCAGTCTTGACATGATTTTAGCCCTCCTAGCCATACGAAATAAAAGAAATAAAAAGATTATTAATCTACAATGATGTCGCAATCGCCCGAACTAGTGATGAGTAAAAAAAATTTTTTTTACAAATTGGCACCTGTTTGAAAAAAAAGTATTTTTTTTTCTTTCTTTTACTGTTTTTATGATTTTCTCAAATTTTTTAAAAATAGTAAAAATTGGAATTTGGGGATAATCTTAGTTCGGGCTATAGATAGGTCTATAAACAAGACTCTCTGAAAATTTCAGGTGAATCGGTCGATTAAAACTCGAGAAATCGTGTCAACAGTACTGAAAAAGTCTGTTCTGAGAAAAACGCATTTAAAGTTTTGCGTGAAACCAAACCAGTATGGAAACCGAGTCAGTAAAATGCCTATATCTCCGAAAATTATTCAAATTTTCAAAAACCTTCTCATACCCATATTCTTAGATAGTTAAACTATGAAAATATGAAATAATAAAATGATTTTTTGAATTTATACAATAGAATATCATCCCCTTAAAGGTAGAGGATGATTACGAAGCCTAGGTGTTCTCTTAGGTTTGGAAATCGCGGTACTATCAGTACAAATAGTACTGAAAAGTCGTCATAATATAGATAATGCATAAACAAAGAATTAATTTACTTGAGACTTTCGTGTTTAAAATCAAATTCTATAAATATTTTTAAATAAACTTGAATTATGAATAAAACAATGAGATTTGCTAAAATAATAAGTTACCTGTATAATTATGACCATGACCATTATAATTGTTGCATTTTCCATATAACGCTTCATTTGCCTCCGGAGATAACAATAAGCTGAAAAATATAATGTATAAATGACATTACATAAATACTATTAATATATTAATATATATATATATAATATATATATATATATATATATATATATATATATATATATATATATATAGTCCTTTTGGTGGTCAAAAATGATCATTAGACATATGCATATCAAATTATCAGATATTTTATAGAGGTTTTCATAATGTTGTACACATTTTGTGTAAATTTTATTGGGATCCGTACCAAGATTTTTAATTTTGAAGTTTATTTATATGGTCCAAACAAATGTACTCGACATTTTCGACAGTATGGAATAACCGATTTGGATAATTTAAAAATAATTCGATTCGTATCGATAAGGAGACGTACTTCATCTTGTCAATACAAGTAAAATGTTTTTTGAATTATTAAAATTATTCTCTTAAAAACTGAGTTACCGTTTTTGGCACTTTTTGCCCCGTAGCTTCAGAACGGCTAGACCCGCCTCCGCCAAAATCTAATCAGCACGTGTCCTTATTAATAGGAATCGAATGTTTTTTGAATGATTAAAATCGGTTGAACCGTGTTCCCGAAATAGTCGACGAAAATTTGTAACCGCACGCACACACACACATACATCCGATTTTTCTAAGGTGTGCCAAAATATTCAGAAACCTTTGAAACGTCGAGAAATGCAAAAAATTTTATTTTCGATTTTTTTGCGATTACTATAACTTGCCCTACGCGAAGTTAAATATTTAGAATCACCTGTGCAATCGATGACAAGCGCTGAACGTTTCTTTCCTGGTGAGATAAATCACTGGCAATGACATTGTAAATGTGGTTTTTCAATACCTGCAAATTTTATTATGTTTTAATATAATTTTTATATAAAAAATACAATAACAGATTTTACACACACATGCACACACACACACACACACACACACATATCTTATATATAAAATTCTTCTGTAACAATGTAAGTTTCATTAATCCTCCTAAACTATAATTTGGATTTTCACGAACCTTCCTGAAGTTTGTTCGAGAAATTTTCTAGAATGTTTTGATTCATAGAAATATAGTTAGATTGTAGAAATAAATGGAAAAAATTACAAAAAACCGCTTATCATTGTTTGACCTTTAAAATATTTAAGGCACGGTTTGACATTAAAAACAAATGACAACTTTCATCTTTCAAACATTTCTATTCACTTATAGGCTAAGGCAATATTAAAATATAATTAATTCATGAATAAAAATAAAGAAAATGTAATGTCTACATTATTATTGTCGAAAAGCAACTGAGATGTGCCATAATTAAAATAATATAAGATGCAAATAATATACCATTCGTCTGACAGTCTGCGCGTACGACTGACGCGCACGGCGAATCGTGTTCTCAACGTGCGCGTGGTTTTGCTTGCAATAATTTTGTTAGCGCACTTTGCGAACAGATTCGCCGTACGAATTCATCCAAAGGAGACGAGCCATAAGTGATTACGCGCAAAAATATTCAATTTGCAGTCGTTTTGCCTTACTATACTATGTCACAATACAAAAAAAAAATTACTCATTCAAAAAATTATTTAGAACTTTCATTGTGTTAAAAATTCATATGGCATTGGGTACGGAATATTTACTCAATGGAGCGCTTTGGGTCTGAACTTTTTTTACTGTTTTCCAATTCGTTTGGAATTTTGGAATTAGGCTCATCTTACTCTCAAGCTCAAAAGTAAAAACAATTTAGACTCCTTTGCACTACCCGGGGGGATGCCATTTCTTTTCAGTGGTGTAATAACGTTGGGTGTGGATAAAAGAACTAATTAAAAGAGAAAAATGTTTAATAATGTTTTTCAAAGAAGCAAATACTTTTCAAGTTACTGGCTACTGAAAATTTGTTTCTTTTTGCGTTTTTTATCGTTTTTTGCTAATATCTTCAAAAATATACATTTTAACGAAAATTATGTAATGAACAAAATTATATCAATAAAAATCCTAATAAATCGCTATTTTACAGTATTCTAGGAACAATACTAAGTTAATTATGAAAATGGGTTTTTATAGTTCTCAAAATAAGCTTCAAAAGAAGTACTTCTGCGTGTAAAATGAGTGAGCTATCATGCAATTAAAAGATGCATACAATGTTTTTTTTTTCATTTAAATCAAATAGTTTATGAGTGCCATTTCCACCAAAATTAAAAATAATCGATTTCCATCTAGAATTAACTTGGTTTGAGAGATCTTGATGGATTCTAGAAAATACCATAACATTAGTACAAACGATTTTCAAAAAACTCATGATTTCATAAAAAAATCCATTTAAAAAAAACAATTTCTCATTATAATATCTCTGAAAGAATACGTATAAAAGTATATATATGAAAATTCATGGTATTTTTCAGACTAATTATTGCTTTTTATTATATTTTTGTTACACAAATATTGATAGAGTTATGATTGTTTAAAGAGTGCGCGGCTGTCCAACCAGAGTGTATTTCGAGCCCTTTAACCCTTCGCCGTTTCAAAATAAGAGAAGTTACGGTAAAATTTATGATAGAGTAAGTTGTAGCTCATTTAATCACCTTTAAAATAGTATATTACAAGTTATGATAAAATCAGAATTAAAAGAGTTATAATCCAATTAATGCTGGAAATGCAAATTATTTTCACTTCTGAACTTTAGATTAAGATAAGCTGGGCATACGCCTTTTTCCTCTCCATTTACTGCAATAATTTTGTTGGTAGTAGGTTGAATAGAGCAGATTTGAGCAAAATTTGACAAATTAATTCACTTCAAATATGAACTTAAGTAATAATGTATATTGAATTATTAGTGTGAAAAATGCAATTTAGATATTAAAATACTAAAAGCCAGTTAAAATATGGTACGAAATTATAAAAATTGTAGGCAACATTATTGAAGCAATTATTTTGGGTAGAAAAATCCAAGGTGATATTGTACCTTGACCGCATGCTATATATTAATTATTTCTGAATTTGTTATTCTTTTCAAAAGATTTCAATTTTCAACACGTGTATCTTTGCTATGACAATAAATACATGGTGATAAATTTGGAAAATCAATGTTTTAGCCGTGAATAAACAAAAAATCATTCATTTAAACATCCACATTTACAGGTATGTCTAAAAATATTGTACCTTAAACCCTTAAATTCAATAAAATAAATTGAGCTATTGGAAATAAATTTATTCTATAAATCACAGTGTATAATTTTTAATATATAATTTTATTGAACATATTTTAATATTTGTTAAAGGGATATAGATTAGTGTAAATAGTAACTCGAAAACAGTGATTATTTTTAACTGAACGGTATAAATATTAGTATAGGATATTAAAAAAACGTAGAGGTGGGTACAGGACAACGTCTGTCGGGTCATCTAGTATATATATATATATATATATATATACATAGTGCGACATCTGTGCGCCACTCAAATATTATGATACATAAGAATATTTATAAACCACTTAACCTCTAATTAAATCCATGTGGGCTGTTCTATAATATCTATTCATCATGGAATCAAAATAATAATTTGAGTCTCAACATCACCAATTAAATAAATATTGTGCTGCAAAATTAATCTTGATTTTTGATTTGATTGTTGATTTTTAGATCATTCAAATCAGGTGCTTAGTTCTCTCAAAAACTGCCCTTTCTTGCACATTTAGCTCGGAATCTGCAAAACAGCAGGACCTGCCTTTGCCAAAAGTTAATAATCACTTCTCCGCATCATTACTAATTGAATGATTTTTAAATCTAATAAATTTATTAAAGTTTTATGGATAAGTGTTTGAGGGCCAAATTTTTTATCTGAAAGAACATCATGATCCACTAAATTAATATTAGCATCAATTTTCATGCTAGTTGGGTGATGGGATAGAAAATTAACGTATCTGCCTGTCCACGTAGGTTTTTGATACCAGTGGGTAATGATTTTATTTTCTGGAGTTTTATTGATATTGTAGTCAAAAAAACTTATTGAATTATTGCGCTCCTTTTTAAAAGTGATAGTGAGATGTTTAGTGAGAGTTAAAAAAATTTCAAAGTGATCGAAATTAATCGCAGTAATACAAGTAAAAAAACATTGAAGAGCTTAAAAACTTTTTTTAGAGGTGTTTTTTTAATGGTTTGATTGATTGAATTTTGAAGGACCAATTGTAAAATACTCTAATTATAACTGTATATATTTATTTTATATTAATTACAATATGTTTTTAATATCGTAATGATTGACTTTTTTATATGATTTCGGATTGATGCAATTGAACATGAGGTATTGAAAGAGTTCAGCGAAGGCAGGTGAATTAAGAGATCCCATAGGTGTACTGAAAATTTATGAGTAGAACTGTGAATTGAATTCGAAGTAGGTGTTTGAGACTATAAATTTAGTCGACTCTCGAAACCATGAATAGACAGTGTGGTTGGGCAGCAATCTCGTCTTATCTAGCCGAGATAGAATCTAATATTAGTTCCAGTGGGACTTTCGTAAAATGGGAAACTATATCTTCTAGACGAGTGTTTCCCAACGTGGGGCGCACGTCCCACCGGAGGGCAATTTGTAAATTCAGGGGAGCAATTGCAAAACTCTGGATACTACATTTACTTTTTTGCTTCAAAATACTTATTAGATTTTACAAAAAAAGAATTATTAAATATAAATAACTTCCCGTAGGGAAAGTTATTGTAATCATCCAAAAATCGAAATTAAAAATGTTTACGTTTCTCGACGTTTTGAAGGTTTCTGAAGATTTTGGCATACCTCAGAAAAAAAGGATGTGTATATGTATGTATGGATACAATTTTCGTCTACGTTTTCGGGCGCACGGATCAACCGATTTGAATGGTTTGAAAAACATTCGATTCCTATTGATAGGAAGATGTGCTGATTAGTTTTTGGCAAAGGCAGGCCCAGGAATATTTTTTTCTCCAAACGACATCTATTTTTTAACTGGACCCTAATCCTTCCTTTCCTATCTGATTGCGTGACTATTCAATTTCAAGTGGTTTCCAAGTGGTTAGAGAATGCGGACATCGACGACCGTTGGTGTGGCAGAGGACAGTGTATCGAGCGACTTGTAACGCATAACACATAATGCTAATTTAGGTTTCCATATTTTAAATTTTAAATTATAACACACTGATGATGAGACAAACCTAGTCTCGAAACGTTTGTGAAAATTATTATTTAATAAATTAGTGCAAAAAAGAGTGTTGTTTGTTCATATTTCCAAATTAATATATATATTATATATATATATATATATATATATATATATATATATGATGAAAGTTTTGTCGACGTTGATACATATTTGTAAAATTTTTTGCAGCCCAACCGTCGAATTAAAAAAAGATTAAATAACAAAATTATTTATTCCATTATACGTTTCGACACTTGATGTGTGTCATCATTCAGTAATCTAAAAAAACATTTAACATAAATACACAAGTGATGATAAATATAAATATAAGGTTGTCAAATATCTCCCTTCCGCCTTTTTGTCTTTTGATTTTCGCGGCTATGTACAAAGCGCTACAGAGCTCGTATCTGGCGAAACTATACATAATTTGAAAGGTCTTGACATAACCAACAAAACGACGCTATGCATGATTAGTTTGGATATTGCGTTCAACAGTTATAGACGTGTAAACATGGAGTTCACTAACGCCGAAATTCGCGCTATTTTAAAGTTTTTCTTCGTTAAAGGCAAATCCGCTAGAGAAACGTTCCGTGAGATTAATGGTGTTTTGGGGGATGGTACTCTATCACTTCGAACCGCGGAGGAATGGTTTCGACGATACAGAGCCGGTGAAAACGACACCATGGATAAGCCAGCCGGCGGAAGACCTGTGACGACAAATACCGATCAAATTATGGAATACATCGAGTTAGACCGGCATGTGGCATCTCGTGACATCGCCCAGGAGATGGGAGTTAGTCACCAAACCATTTTAAACCATCTGCAGAAGGCTGGATACAAAAAAAAGCTTGATGTTTGGGTGCCGCATGATTTGACGCAAAAAAACCTTCTGGACCGAATCAACGCCTGCGATATGCTGCTGAAACGGAACGAACTCGACCCATTCTTTAAGCGGATGGTGACTGGCGACGAAAAATGGATCACATACGACAATATCAAGCGAAAACGGTCGTGGTCGAAGGCCGGTGAATCGTCCCAAACAGTGGCCAAGCCGGGATTGACGGCCAGGAAGGTTTTGCTGTGTGTTTGGTGGGATTGGAAGGGAATCATCCACTATGAGCTGCTCCCATATGGCCAGACGCTTAATTCTACCATCTACTGCGAACAACTGGACCGCTTGAAGCAGGCGATCGACCAGAAGCGTCCAGAATTGGCCAACAGGAAGGGTGTAGTGTTCCACCAGGACAACGCCAGACCACACACTTCGTTGATGACTCGTCAGAAGCTACGGGAGCTCGGACGGGAGGTTTTATCGCATCCACCATATAGCCCGGACATAGCGCCAAGTGATTACCACCTGTTCCTGTCCATGGCGAATGCCCTTGGTGGTGAAAAGTGGCTGTCCGAGTTCTTCGCAAATAAGGAGGGGGGCTTCTACGAGGGAGGTATTATAAAGTTGCCGTCTAGATGGAAACAGATTATCGAACAAAACGGCGCATATTTAAACTAAATCCGATCACTGTAACACTTTTTATAAAGCATTGAATAAAGAGCAAAAAAGCGGAAGGGAGATATTTGACAACCTTATATATAAAAGGAGGAAATTATACATACCAAACCAGGAAAAACAGGAAACATTAATTATGATGTAAAATTTAACACTAAATTTGTGTAAAATAATAAAATACTATTAATTAACAAACGAGAAATAGGAGGAGCACATATTGCCCTCATAACATATTTAATGTTATGGTAGCATAGCGTTGTGTGCACTGTTCAAGGCTAAATCGCAGTGTAGGCAACGCACGTGTATGGGAGTGGGAGGAGTAGCAAGAACGAAAGGGGAAAGAAAAACAGAGAAGAAATATAACGAATGAAAGATTCTAAAACTGTATTGAATTACTTTTTATGAAATTAATAATTACTTTGTAACTATCATGTAAGAGATGAGAGGAATTACGTTTGTTTACACAAGACGTATTGAGGGATATAAGTAAAGACTCAACTATCTTTCTATGGTCACCGTTTTTTTTCAATGTAAAGGATTGAGGGATTTGACATGTTAAAAGTGTGGTTCAGGTTTATCATATGTTCAGAAAGCATCGTTTTGAATTGATTTGGGTTTCTGGAATTATAAGTATGTTGATTAACCCTCTTGTATATATATTGGAAAGTTTCACTATTGTAACAACTATTGCAATCATTGCAGTCCAACCTGTAAACAGAATCAGTAATCCTATCAGCGGGAGTTTTTGATTTAAGAGGAGAAAAAAGGCAACGGAAAGTGTTATCAAAACTGAAAACCAAAAGAAAACCTTCAGCGGCAAATAACTTTTTTAAAAAATAAGAAAAACTGCTTAAAAAAAATAGATTTTGAAAAAGAATTGTTAAGATAGGAAGAACTGTTTAAATTGTTTTGTAAAAACTCTAATCTATTTTTAATGACGTTATTTACTAAATATGAAGGATAAGAATTATTATTCAAAACAGCACGAACTAAAGATAGTTTTTTCCCAAAAAATCTTATCACTTAACAAAATGGCCCTATCTATTAAGGAAATGACAACTGAAATTTTTATGGAGAGTGATAAGAAAAATAATTTAAATATCGGCCAGACCAAGTTGGTTTTTGGAACCAGTCAGTGAGGATGACATGATTATTTCTTATAAGTTTTAAGTCTAAGAAACTGATAGAATTACTAGCTTCAAGTTCACAAGTGAACTGCAAATGCTTATTAAAAGAATTAAAAGAATTTAAAGTGTGGGATACATAATCATTATCTAAACACAAGAGGATGTTATCAACATATCTATAATAAAAATAAGGTTATATATAAGGGTATATATATATATATATATATATATATATATATATAGTGTGTGTGTGTGTGTACGAGGTGTGTTTAAAAAGCACACGATTTTTTTAATGTTCTGGGTCCGGAAAGAACTATTAACAAACTTTTCTATCAACAAACTGTGTTTTTATGGCTCGTTGACTTTTGCTTTTGAAAGAAAACGCTATGTTTTCTTGTCTTTCTTCAACTTTGGCTACAGGAAACAATCATATGGAGCCATTAAAACAAAACTTCCGGGGCCACTCAAAACACTTCTTTTTTTACAGCAGACTCATCATGAGCTTTTCCTAACATTTCACAAACTTTGTTAAGCTTTATCTAAAATTTTACGAAAAAAATAATTCAATTTGCTGGACTTTTCCAGTCTTCCAACAAGCAAAAATCGCATCAAAACACGTCGAACCTTAGCGGCTACTACAGCCAAAGAAAGCAGTAAATATAGCAAAAAATTTTATCATCAAATTCCACTTTAGGGGCATCTATATCGACACAATAAAAAAGTTTGTTAATCCGTAAAATTAAAAAATTGCGTGTAGTTTTAGAACGCATCTCGTATATTAAATGTGTGATCATTAAGCAATAAAAAACAAATCTTACTTTGCAACAATTAACTATTAAACTTGCATGCCCACGACACTAACAATTTGTCGAATTGTGCAATTATCATATTATAAAAGCACGCTTAAGATAATTACACGAGCAAGCAACTCACCTTATAGCAATCACACGACGACAATATGAATATATTCATTCACATATTGTCAAGTCGCCCAAAAAAGAGGTTAGCTGTCAAATTGTAGTATAGATACGATGCATAGATAAAAGAAGAGTTTCACGTTTCGCTGGAGGAGAGACTTGACATAAGTAGCTTCTCGCAGTGATGTTGACAGATGCACATGATGCCTCTGCGCATGGCTTAGTGTGTTAAAATGATGTGAAGTTCGCGGCATTTTATATCAAGGCTGACCCACAATAATAGGAAAGTTAATAAATAAACTAGTGGGACGCATGGCATCTTGCCTTAAAGCAAATTGCTGGAACTTCCCGTACCAAAAATTATTTTTTTTAAACAAGATTAACATTTTAAACAATTAAAATCGGACGCTCCGTTCTCTTAAAAACTGAGTTACCGTTTTTGGCACTTTTTGCCTCATATCTTCAGAACGGCTAGACCTGCCTTCGCCAAAAACTAATCAGCACGTCTCCTTATCAATAGGAATCGAATGTTTTTTGAATTATTCAAATCGCTTCATCCGTGTTCCCGAAATCGTCGACGAAAATTTGTATCCGCACACACATACACACATACATCCATTTTTTCTAATTATAAGGTATGCCAAAATATTCAGAAACCTCTGAAACGTAGATATATAAAAATTTTCATTTTCGATTTTTTGCGATTACTATAACTTACCCTACGGAAAGTTAAAAATAAATATATGAATTTAGTAATTTGATATATGATTTTAATCATTTGAAATTAGTAATTTGATTCGATTTGCTTGAAATTAAATAATTAACTTCAATAATTTGATCCATTATTCTATTCAATTTAATCATTTGACTTTATTGAATTTAAACACTCAAATTATTATCACTTGAACATTCACTTTAGTATTTTACAGGTATGTATTTTGCTGGTTAGTTAATTTATGTTTAAATTTCAAATGATCACTAAATATTTATCCTGGTCGTACGGACAATATTAAGGTAATCATTGTTTAAATATAAACAACATTAGGTAAATAGAATTAATATCATTTTATTAATTTATAAATACTTCATTAAAATTATATTAATTAATAATATATTATATTATATTAATGTACTTAATTATTATAAATTACTTCAGCTAAGTTTAACTTTCTAAACTGAAGACTAAAATTACACATTTTATATAATAAATTTTGTTGTATACATCTACATAGACCGAATTCAGGAATTTCCTGTAATCTGTATATATGCAGACAACTAAACATTGTCAATTTTTCTGAAGAGTAATATGATTCGAATAAAAGATAAATTTCTGCAATGAACAGTTTCCTTTTAGATTAAAAGGATTAAAGAATTTACTTACTCTACTCTAAAAATATATCAATGCACGCTCGCACATGCTTCTGGTGCTTTATCATTCAATTAAAATTAAATTATAGAATAATCATAGAATATTCAAAAATAATTCTTAACAAATATAATGTTTCATAATAAAAAATATGCAATTGAGTAATAGAATATATGTAGTACTATTCTGCTAGGAAATTTTCTTGCTTAACTGCGCCAATTTCTTCTAGATGACTTTGAAAACCGTCGGGCACTCTTCCTTCATCCAAATCTACAGCCCATTGTCGATACTGAAATATATTCAATTTGATTACTTCAAATGTTTGCAATATTTATGTGTGTGGAATCATTTCATATTTTAAATAATTGAATAATTGAATGAGGATGCCGCCGCTCCGGCGGCAAAATTCATATGAATCTCGGAGTTCGCCAGTGGAAAGTGTTCAAAGTTGATAAAATAAGTTTTTTAACTTCCCGTAAGTTATAGTAATCGCAAAAAAATCGAAAATGAAAATTTTTATATTTCTTTACGTTTCAAAGGTTTCTAAACATTTTGGCATACCTTAGAAAAAATGGATGTATGTGTGTGTGTGTGTGTGTGTGTGTGTGTGTGTATGTGCGTGTGTGTATGTATGTGCGGATACAAATTTTCGTCGACGATTTCGGGAACACGAATCAACCGATTTGAATAATTCAAAAAACATTCGATTCGTATTGATAAGGAGACGTGCTGATTAGTTTTTGGCGAAGGCAGGTCTAGCCGTTCCAAAGATACCGTGCAAAAAGTGCCGAAAACAGTAACTCAGTTTTTAAGAGAACGGAGCGCCCGATTTGAATAATTCAAAAAACATTTCACTTGCATTGACAAGATGAAGAATTGATCAAATTTTCATGAAGGCAGGTCTAGCGGTTTCGGAGATCTAATGAAAAAAGTAAAAAAAAAAATGCCATTCGGCGGTTAAAAATGATCATTAGACATATGCACATCAAATTATCAGATATTTTATAGAGATTTTAACAATAAGTATATTTTTTTTTACATTTCTATGGGTTCCGTACCAATGCTTATGCGTTAGACGGCGGCGCGGCACTTGCGCGCTTTGACATTGCGTCTCTATGCAGTTCAAGCAGTACGATTGCTTTGAAAAAAAAGTTCAGAATTTCCAAAATATGTCAAAATGAAGAAAACATTTTTCTTTTCAACAAAATTTTGTTCTCAAAAAAATTTTTTTTTTTCAAAAAAAAGTAATTTTTTGTCAAATTTATAGTTTCTCAAAAATCTAATTTTTTCGAAGTAAATTTTTTTCAAAAATGTTAATCGTTTTTAAAAAAATAATTTTTCGTACGGGAAGTTCCAGCAATTAGCCTTAAGGCACGATGCCTTAATTGCCTCAAGACAGAATTCCACTTACAGCTAGTTAATCTTAACATATGCAGTAATATATAGCATTAGTAGAAGTAGGAACATAACATTCATATAATGGACAAGAGATAAATTGAAAATTTGAATGAAATTTTTATTAGAAACTAGCAAACCCGACGAACTCCGTTTCGCCACCAGATGGTTTCGTGAGAAAGATGAAGTAATTTTTTGTTCGTTTTATATTTGAAAAGAAAAAAATTGATTTTATTGCACAACAGTAATGAATTTATTTCCATTACAAAAATGAAGTGTTTTTTAGATGAACTTCTCTAAGTAAATAAAAGTGAATCCGCAAATTATACGTTTCATTGTGCTCTTTGGTAAACCACATTTTTTGTTGTTTGGTCTGACGTTAACACAAACAAAGCGGATGGTTTTCCAACTCGTGCACAGGCAACGTATAACTGCCAAAGTGAAAAACAATGATTTTCTAAGTAATCTATTTGAGATTTATCCCGCAAACACTAAGCGATTGGCCTTGCGACTTGTTAATCGTCATTGCAAACGCAAGGCGAACTCGAAATTGCAATCGTTTGAAGTCAAACGGAAGACCAGTCAGAATCATTGGTATGTCACCAAATCGCCAGCAATTTTTGATTGAATGGTGAAATTCAGTGCGTGTACATCATTATTCTTTGCGGCAAATATTCTTGTTGACTTAACCAAGCATAATTCTGATAATTCTCACTAATGTCATTACTCGAATTTTCAATTACGGTGCGTGAAGTTCCAGCAATTTGCATTAAGGCACGATGCCATGCACCACTGACTTTTCTTACCTATAAACCTTGCGGAGCCCGAGACCTTTCCAACGAATGCAAAATTGTCGAAATCGGTTCGTGCGTTCTGGAGTTATTTCGTCAAGAAGGAAAACCCGACTTATTTTTATATATATAGAAGATAATGTATGCATTGAAAATAGTCATACCTTTTCAAGTTCTTTGCGCAAAGCAAAAACAGCCTTTTCTCGATCTGCTACCAATTCTTCTAAATATTGATATCGTAATTTTTTTCTGGCTCTGCATTCTCTAGCGCTTTGCCTGCTGCGTTCTATACAAAACAAAAGAATGTTAAGCCCCTGTGTAAATATCTTTATATTATAATATGAAAATTCAATAGTGAATCTGCAAAGGATGAACTAGAAGGGTGCATTGCATCGTGGCTTAAGGCAAATTGCTGGAACTTCCCGTATCGTACCAAAATGTTCGAGGAATATTGAATGTTTTCAAATTCAAATTTTTCAATATTCAAATAGATTATTATTAATATTGTAACAATGTCTAATATTTATAAGAATTATATAAACTGATTTAATTGATTTAAAGAACTTTCTGCTTGTCTTAATAAAATAATTGATTTTGAAAAAAAAATTTTGTTTCAATTTTTTTTCATTTTTTTTTTTAAATTTTTTGTATAAAGAAAATAATTCAGATTTTATTTTTAATTCTGACTATAGTTCAAATATACTTCAAACAAATAATTTCAACTTTGCAATTCAGTTTATATAATTCTTATAAATATTCGACAATGTTACAATATTTATAATAATCTATTTGAAAACATTCAGTATTCCTCGAACATTTTGTTACGATACGGGAAGTACCAGCAATTTGCCTTAAGGCACGATGCCACACACCCCACTAGTTTAATTTCTCATATTTTATGTATAAAACAATTAAATTGATGATCTTAATATCTAAATATTCACTAATAAATTTATTCACATATAATACCTAATTTAGCTTTTACATCTACTTTTTCAGTAGAAGATTTTCTTCCAGGTTTGCGACCTCGTTTACCACCCTCCTTGCGTTCAACCCTCATACTGTCCTGAGAAAATATATAAAGTAAGTAAATTTTTTTTCAACAGTTAATTACAAGAAAACGGCTCGGTAGATTTTCACCTAAAATTAATCAGTACCATTCCCAACTAATATCTTTCGAACAGTTTTTGATTTTTTAAAATCGGTTCGGTAGGATGAGCTTAAATGTGGACGAAAAGTTTAACATTTTTTTTCAACAGTTAATTACAAGAAAACGGCTCGGTAGATTTTCACCTAAAACTAATCAGTATCATTCAAAACTAATATCTTTCCAAGAGTTTTTGATTTTTTAAAATAGGTTCGGTAGAATGAGCTTAAATGTGGACGAAAAGTTTAACACTTTTTTTCAACAGTTAATTACAAGAAAACGGCTCGGTAGATTTTCACCTAAAACTAATCAGTATCATTCCCAACTAATATCTTTCGAACAGTTTTTGATTTTTTAAAATCGGTTCGGTAGGATGAGCTTAAATGTGGACGAAAAGTTTAACACTTTTTTTCAACAGTTAATTACAAGAAAACGACTCGGTAGATTTTCACCTAAAATTTATCAGTACCATTCCCAACTAATATCTTTCGAACAATTTTTGATTTTTTAAAATCGGTTCGGTAGGATGAGCTTAAATGTGGACTAAAAGTTTAACACTTTTTTTCAAATTACAAAGAAACGGCTTGGCAGATCGTTGCACAAAACTGACAAACGATAGTCCTCACCGAAATACATCAAATGGCTTTTAAATTTCTAAAATCGGTTCAGGCGTTTTTGAGAAAACGTCGATCAAATGTCTAATTTTGACAAATGCCAAAAAGACCATACTGATTTTTGCAAACTTTGACGAATTTTTAAAGCTGAACCAGTTGTCGTAGGGCCGTAATATTTTAGTATGACCTAGAAAACTATGGTATCTATCGTCAAAAAAATAATCATAAAAATCGTCGAATTTTTTTTTTTTTTTAACTTTATTACAAGAAAACGGCCCGGCCGATCTTTACCAAAAACTAATCAGCACGATTCCCAACCAATATCTATCGAACGGTTTTTGAATCGATTCAGAATTGCGGGCTAAAACGTGGACGAAAAAATTTTCACTTTTCTGCAATTTACAAAGAAACGGCCCGGCCGATCGCCGCACTCAGAGACGATAGTCCTCATCGATATACATCAAATGGCTTTTAAATTTTTGAAATCGGTCCAGCCGTTTTGGAGAAAATGTCGATTTATGGCAAAAAATCTGTTCACACACACACACACACACACACACACATACACACACACACATACTTTTTCCAAATTTGGTCTCATTCGATTCAGAATGGCTCGAAACGTCGAGAAAACAAAATTAGCGATTCGGATTTTTTTATGAAAACAAACTTCTCCTTCGGGAAGTTAAAAAAGACTATATAGCAAAGAAAAAGGCTAAAAATACTACTAAAATAACTTAAAATTATTTTCAAAATACAACACTGTTTATCACTGCTATATGTAATTTATTTAACTTTTCGATGTAAACTGAGTCATTGTTTATAGAATAGCCTGTGCCTCACAGAGAATGTTTGTCCACTCAGGTGGACAGCCGTCCCCAAAGAGTTAACATGGCACCCACAATATTGATGACAAAAGTGCAAGGTTAAATTCTTAAGTCAAATATTCTCGATGCCATCAGTATTACAAATCCCACAACAGGCACAACACAAAAACTGATAAAAAAGAAAAACGCGGGCCACGAAAAGCGAACTTTATGCTTTGTACAAAATAATCAATAAATATATAAAAAATGATTACTTAAAATACTGAAAAAAACACTATAAAGAGTCACCTACATCTTTCTGGTAGCACGAACAGACCATTTAAAGTACTTCTTAAAAATAATTGTTGGATAAAAGAATTAAACTAGTGGGTCGCATGGCATCGAGCTTAAGGCAAATTGCTGGAACTTCCCTTACCGTAATTCAACATTCAAATAATAAAAATAATTAGGCCGGGCGGAATCATATCCGTCCGGAGTTATAACAGGGCGGATACATAACCGGACGGAGTCATAACCGAGTGTTGTCATATTCGACCAAAGTTATATCCGAGCGGAGTTATATCCGACCGGAGTCATATGCGACCGGAGTCATATCCGAGCGGAGTCTTGTCCGACCGGAGTCATATGCGACCGGAGTCATATCCGAGCGGAGTTATATCCGAGCGAAGTCATATCCGAGCGGAGTCATATCCGACCGGTGTCATATCCGGCCGGAGTCATATCCGACCGGAGTTATATCCGACCGGTGTCATATCCGAGCGGAGTCATATCCGAGCGGAGTTATATCCGAGCGGAGTTATATCCGAGCGGAGTCAAATCCGACCGGAGTCATATCCGACCGGAGTTATATCCGACCGGTGTTATATCCGATCGGAGTCATATCCGAGCGGAGTTATATCCGAACGGAGTCATATCCGACCGGTGTCATATCCGACCGGAGTCATGTCCGACCGAAGTTATATCCAAGCGGAGTCATATCCGACCGGAGTTATATCCGACCGGTGTCATATCCGACCGGAGTCATATCCGAGCGGAGTTATATCCGAGCGAGGTTATATCCGAGCGGAGTTATATCCGAGCGGAGTTATATCCGAGCGGAGTTATATCCGACCGGAGTTATATCCGACCGGTGTCATATCCGACCGGAGTCATATCCAAGCGGAGTCATATCCGACCGAAGTTATATCCGACCGGAGTCATATCCGACCGAAGTCATATCCGAGCGGAGTCATATCCGACCGGAGTTATATCCGACCGGAGTCATATCCGAGCGGTGTTATATCCGACCGGAGTCATATACAACCGGAGTCATATCCGAGCGAAGTTATATCCGAGCGAAGTTATATCCGAGCGGAGTTATATCCGACCGGAGTCATATCCGAGCGGAGTTATATCCGACCGGAGTCATATCCGAGCGGAGTTATATCCGACCGGAGTCATATCCGACCGGAGTCATACCCGAGCGAAGTTATATCCGAGCGAAGTTATTTCCGAGCGGAGTTATATCCGACCGGAGTCATATCCGACCGGAGTCATATCCGAGCGGAGTTATATCCGACAGGAGTCATATCCGAGCGGAGTTATATCCGACAGGAGTCATATCCGACCGGAATCATATCCGGCTAGAGTCATATCCGACCGGAGTCATATCCGACCGGAGTTATATCCAACCGGAGTCATATCCGAGCGGAGTTATATCCGACCGGTGTCATATCCGAGCGGACTTATATCCGACCGGAGTCATATCCGACCGGAATCATATCCGGCCAGAGTCATATCCGAGCGGAGTCATATCCGAGCGGAGTCATATCCGAGCGGAGTCATATCCGAGCGGAGTCATATCCGAGCGGAGTCATATCCGAGCGGAGTTATATCCGAGCGGAGTTATATCCGACCGGAGTCATATGAGACAGGAGTCATATCCGACGGGAGTCATATCCGACCGGAGTCATATCCGACCGGTGTCATATCCGACCGGAGTCATATCCGAGCGGAGTTATATCCGAGCGGAGTTATATCCGACCGGAGTCATATCCGACTGGAGTCATATCCGACCGGAGCCATATCCGACCGGAGTCATATCCAAGCGGAGTCATATCCGACCGAAGTTATATCCCACCGGAGTCATATCAGAGCAGAGTTATATCCGAGCGAAGTTATATCCGACCGGAGTCATATCCGATCGGAGTCATATCCGAGCGGAGTTATATCCGACCGGAGTCATATCCGAGCGGAGTTATATCCGACCGGAGTCATATCCGAGCGGAGTCATATCCGACCGGAGTCATATCCGACCGGAGTCATATCCGAGCGGAGTTATATCCGACCGGAGTCATATCCGGCCAGAGTCATATCCGAGCGGAGTTATATCCGACCGGAGTCATATCCGAGCGGAGTTATATCCGACCGGAGTCATCCTAGCTGGATAAATGAGTAAATTGTGTAAAAGCATTTTTATGCTCAAATTATTCTTTTAGTTATTTTTTTAAATCGGCGTTGCATATTCAAAATCAACAATCAACAACAAATGTATTTACGACAAATGTACATTTCTGACTAAAATAATTTATAAACAATGTAAGAAAGCCTAATAAAGTATATTATGTATGCATATTGCATTCTGTATGAATATTTAATTTTATTTGTTTTTCTTCTTGTAATTTCTTTTAGAAATAATTAAAGATTAAATCAATCATTATCTGAATTAAATAATGAAATAGATAATATTTTCATTGTAGGTCAATTTAACAGCGCGCATTAGGTGAATACATTGATATATTGTTCTTAAACACAACTTGATGATTTGGTTATTATTTAACTCACAGCAATAATCTTACAGTTTGTAACAAAAAAAATATAATATCACAGGTATAATACTAGCTCTGTCATATTCGACATTCCAAAACCACACTGGACTATCCAAAACCATACTGGTTAATTCAAAAAAGGAAAAGAAACTATGCTGATTAGAGATGGGCTTATCATATCCGAAGCCAGATCGGCTGGGATTTGACTCCACTTCAGGGAGGAGTTATATCCACTTAACAACTCCACAACTCCGACAACTTTGAAACATAACATTTGACACAAATGTGTTCTCTAGTGTGTTGTTAACATATCTAAGGATTTATTAAGACTTTGGAAATAGTTCACAAATAGTACAAACAATTTTATTCATTTTATTACAATAATTACTATTTTATGCATTTCAATATGCATACAAATCTCAAATTGACAAAAAACTTGGGAATCAAAATCAATTTTGTAATTATTTTTAAATAAAAATAATCCAGTGAACCTTATATATGAAACAAGATCAAATCTGTGTGTATAATATTTTTCACAAAATAATAATACCTCACATTCTTTTATAATTTCCTTTTCGAGAATTAATTATATATCAGGTAGTAGATTTTACACAATTATAAAATCATAATTGTGTAAAAGTTATAATATAATATTAAATATTTTTTAGCTGATTGTATACCATAGAAAAAACTCATTTACGGAAAAACATTATCGTATACAGAATATACAATTCAAAATAGCATTATTTTGAGACATTATATACCTGGAAAGTCCCAAAACTGGCTGTGAGACGAGAAAAAGACCACTTCTTTCGACCCAAATCTTTGTATTAGTAAAAACTCTCATGCAAATATCTGCTCATATTAACAGATTTAGTACCAGTTTTGGGAAGTCGGATATGACAAATCCTGTGAGGCAACTCCACTAGGATTCACTCTGAGGGAGGAGTTGTCTCATGATAACTCCGGAGTGAGTTACCCATCTCTAATGCTGATAATAAAGAAGTCCAAAAACAAGGTCAACAAAACTTCAATTCCAATTCAACAAAAGGCAAGATTGATAATTCCACCAGGACAGATTTTGTTTATGTTCTGAAAATGATGTCAAACTTATAAATAATTGCAAGAAGTGCTGCATGCAAGTTTCATGGGTGTGAGCACTCTTCCGGCACTCATCTCTATAGTAGAAGATTACACAACCATATCCATAATGCCAGCTTACATCAATGAAAAATGAGATATGATTAAGAATAATTAAATCTCGTGACTAAGCAACTACTTTTTATTTTGGAATTAATAACAAGGTTACTGCTTTTCCTTTCAGGATTACATATCCTATCCATTCATTCTAAGAGGTAAACAAAGAAGTATTGGAAGTTTCTTTAAAACTTACTTCAACTCCTTCCTAGACTACTCCTTCTTCGTCATGTCTCATGATTTTTATTCTGTACATAATTCAACTATCAGCATAGATATTTCTATTCATATTTTGTTATATTTAAAAGGTACCCTTCTCACTCGGAAAAAAATGATGACCACACAATGAACAATCTTATGCATCAATATTATTATAGTTGCCATCTCGAGTTTGCAATATGTCAACAGAACCATTCCTTTCTAACCCAGGCTACCAGTCTCTTTCACTCCAAAAATTCCTTTGACCTGTGCCATCTTCAGTCGAGTTCCGAGTTTTCCTTCCAAGACAATATAGCTGACCTTGAGTCTAGTCCGATTATAGTTCCAGGCTAGTGGCAGTTTAGTTTAGATAGTTTTAATAAATTTTCCTTTTGGATTACAACCAGTTTCCTTCACGCCTTGTGGAGCAAATTGCTGCTCCAATGTACAAAAAATGCAACAACGCACAAGCACAAAGCTGTTCGGTTCATACAGGGCAATAAAAAATATTTATCCAAAAATATTAGGTATAATTTTCAGTACAAGTTTAAGCGTCAATAAGAAAGTACATAAGAAAGTACCAAAGTACAAAGTAAGAAATAAAATAAATAATAGTAAATTTAAAGCAAAATAGATTAAGTTATGTATAACTAAATCATAAGTAAATAAATTAGAGAAACAAATAAGTCAACAAGAGTTTCATTATAAACCCAATTTTACATTTATGGGAAATGTCCCACCTTGCTTTCATTGTTTTACGTATTTTTGGCCCAATTCCTTAACTTTTATTGGTTTCGGTACTTATTGAATCAATAGGAGTATCCTTGAATTTTCCTGTTCTTATTGAGAGTGATATTGATATTATTTTAAGTTTATTATTACCAAAGAAAAAAGTTTTATTTTTTAACTTTCCGAAGGAGAAGTTTATGTTTTCATCAAAAAATCCGATTCTCTAATTTTATGTTTTCTCGACGTTTCAAGCCATTCTGAATCGAATGAGACCAAATTTGAAAAAAGTATGTGTGTGTGTGTGTGAACATATTTTTTGCCGTAAATTGACGTTTTCTCAAAAACTTTTTTTGGCGATTTACATCATGGTCTTATAGAACTTACTGTAATATTAAGGCCTTACGACAAGTAGTTTAATTTTAAAAATTCGTCAATCTTTGCTAACATAATTATCGTTTTTTTTTAAATTAGGATTGATGAAGTATATTATTTACAAATTTTTTTTTTGATTAAGTCGATTATTTACACATATCGAGAAGTTCATGTAACTTGCCTCAAGGCTAAATACCAAACCAACTAGTTTACTTTTTTGTTTGATATTGCAACATTCTTGAAATATGTATTTGCACTCATAAAGTAGAAATAAATTTTGTTTACTATGTGAAAATCTATGTCACATTATAACATAATTTTCAGAAATGACTATTTCATCGGCGTTGACTGCTCAACATTAATGGTATGTAACTTGTTTCCAAAACAAACTAGGAAATTATTTGGCACAAAAAAACTTTTTAAACAATTAGTTTTGTACAGCAATTTTTCAACATTAGTTTGTTTTTAGTTTTCGATATAAGTTATTGACATCATATGCAAAAATTTTATTTCAACAGTGTCTATCGTGTTAATTAATAAAATCAACTTGTATGTTCATTAGATTGATAAAAAAAACAAGTACATAAACCTAAATTTTTGTTGTATAAATAATACACTTAGTGAATGTTAACTTATTCGTTTGTCGAATTGTAGCAATTTGCTTATGATTATAAGCTTAGTTATGTTCTATACCAACTTTATTGTACTAATCAACACAAAATATGTTTCATACACAAGGGCCATAAAAATAAACGCCAATGGATCATCATTGTTAGTAAAAACAAGACAACCTCTCTGGTATTAATTCCAATATCTATATTTTATACGAAATAGACCTCGTAGCCCATCTCGGAAAAGAATATTCAACCAGAAGGCAGTACACAAGTGAAGAGAGCTATTAAGTGCCACCATACTCAATTTCATTAATAAGCCATGTTGCAAATTAACATAATATTAGACAGACGTATTTGATGAAACGTTTTATTTTATTCAAACCTGAGGCTCTGATATATTATGAAGTTAGAAGAAATCATGTGTGGATTGAAATAATAATTTCTGTCAAAAACATAATATTATAACATTAAAATGTATTTAGCACTAACATCATCATCTAAAGTACTTAAACTTTCGTAATCCATGTTGCACCAGATATTAGCACGTAAAATACTATTTGCACATGTATGTCACAACAGGTACAGAATATCTCACTAATCACTATATACAAATACATCACACCATCATCCGTCAAACGCACACGTCATACCATAGATAAAAGAAGAGTATACTCACCCTATATATTTTTACGTTCAGAAGGGATACTCAAAGTCAAAGCGTCCTTCGCTCGACATGATGGCGCTGCTTTTGGCATTCAAATTAATGGCGCAAAACTTGAAATGAAAATTAATGAATTTTAGTAATCGGGTATTTGAAACTAAATTTGGTATTACAATCGTATTATGTTTTGTTATAATGCAATAATAACTAAAAAATAATATTATGTTATAGAAAATATACAATGAAATCGAAATATAAATCAACAAATACACTGCCGGTTTATATATAATATATATCACATCTAATCTACTAGAATAACTTCTACACTTTTTCAACTTATTAATATAAATATTTAGTAAAATTTAGTGAATAATGCATTATAGTGTTAGTTCATTACATCGTCTGTCATTCTCAACTCTCCTTAACTAATAATCATCCCGTGCAAAATTTGACATTCTTAAGCAATCATTTTCAAGTTTATTCAGATCCGTGTGAAGTGGTAATCCTATTTCAAACAGCTGAAAGATTTCTACATATTATGTCTTTCTTGTAGATTATTTCTTACATAACTTCCTAGAAATAGACATTGTCCATTTGGTACAAAATGGTAATTCTTGTTCATTTAAGTTTGTACTTTTAAAATATAAATATAAAAAAAAAAAAAAAAAATACTACGCATTGTATTGATAGATTAGTCTAATCATATTAAACTTTAAGAAAAGAGGCCATTTCTAGAAAATTATGTAAGAAATAATCTACACGAAAGACATAATATGTAGAAATCTTCTAGCTGTTTGAAATAAGATTACCACTTCACACGGATCTGAATAAACTTGAAAATGAATTGCTTAAGAATGTCAAATTTTGGATTGGATTTGATTACCATTTCACACGGATCTGAATATACTTGGGAGAAAATGAATTGCTTAAGAATGTCAAATTTTGCACGGGATGATTATTAGTTAATGAGAGTTAAGAATGACAGACGATGTAATAAACTAACACTATAATGCATTACTCACTAATTTCATTTCACTAAATATTTACATTAATAAACAGAAAAAGTGTTAAAGTTATTCCAGTAGATTAGATGTGATATCTATTATATATAAACCGGCAGTGTATTTGTTGATTTATATTTCGATTTGATTGTATATTTACTATAATATGATATTATCTAGTATATTTTTGTTATTATTGCATTATTACAAAACATAATACGATTGTAATACCAAATTTAGTTTCAAATACCCGTGTACTAAAATTCATTAATTTTCATTTCAAATTTTGCGCCATTAATTTGAATGCCAAAAGCAGCGCCATCACGTCGAGCGGAGGACCCTTTAAGTATTCCTTCTGAACGTAAAAATCGGGAAAGGGAAACGTCTCTATGAACACAGGGTAGTCTAGGAGCCAGACGTACAGGTTATAACCAATGACCATAGATAGTTATGACATTTAGTGTCAACGTCCTCCCATAATAAATTTGTTTCGTAATAATTACGTATTTAAAAAAAATATTTTAATAAACATGTACTCATTAAGAATATTTTCAAAACCCGTTAATGGTAAGTGCAAATTAATATATAGAATCACGTAAATCGAAAAGAAATATTTTGTGTATGAAGTGTTTTATCCCAGTACTCTTCACAGGTCTTGCAAGATTTAGTAGTTCCTATAACGCTACAAGACCAAATCTAAAATTAAATGAGAATACTAAAGTAATTTGTCAAGGATTTACTGGTAAACAAGGAACTTTTCATTGTAAACAAGCTATAGAATATGGCACTAAAATTGTTGGTGGAGTATCACCAAAAAAAGCTGGAACAATTCATCTCGATTTACCAGTATTCAAAACAGTAAAAGAAGCCAAGATGCAACTGAGGCTACTGCTTCTGTTATTTATGTACCACCTCCAGGTTTGTGAAAATACTATTGATACAATTTATAACCAAAAAATAGTTTACAAAGATTCGCATGAATATAAGTATAATCATTTTCACATTTGGTTATTAGTAATAACTTATTACTATGCTTTGGAAAATACACTTATATGCGAACCATTGGCTCAGCGTTATATTATAAATTGGTTTCTGCTTTCTTCTTACTTTTTAACAAATTAAAAATTCATAAATAACCATACCTGTTTATTCTACATTTATGATTTTTTATCTGCTTATTTTTATATTTATTATTATTATTAATCTTTTATTTTAAAGTGTTTCATATAAATTATTATTCCTTTTATCTTAATTTTAAATTTAATTTTTGTAATACTGTGAATTTTTTTATTTGAATCTATTTTTGCCTATAGTCTTTGGGCTTTGAATAACTGATATTACATAGCATGATACTCGCTTTTGAACAAAAAAAAATTAATAAAGATACTTCATTATTATTGTAGAAAATTTAATTTGTTTCCTGAACCTAACATCTTCTTAAGCCTTATATTATCATATGATTTGAAAGCTTATACATTAGGTTTTTAATAAATGTAACTGATTTTCTAAAATTAACGATTTGGCGCGTTTTGCAAGTTTCTTTCAAGATGTACATGTACATTTGCAATATTATAAAAGCAATAGCCTAACAATAAGCGATTTTCATAGTATTAGTTGATCCTTTCCGACGCAGGTACCTGCCTACGTTCGTTTTCGAACGAACGAATTCCTATATCGTTGAAAAAACTAACTGGCCGCCATGTTTTCAACTGCTTCGAAACCAGTTGATTTTCAACTAGTTATTTCGTTGCGACGAAACGTAGTTAGTTATCGAAGAAGAAACGGTTGAAAATAACCGTGGTTGATTCAACGCCCATCATAGTATTACTATGCTTTGTAGAAAATACACTTATATTGCCAACCTATTGCTCAGCGTTATATATAAATTGTTTCTGCTTGTCTTCTTACTTTTAACAAAATATAAAAATTCATAAATAACCATACCTGTTTATTCTACATTTATGATTTTTTATCTGCTTATTTTTATATTTATTATTATTATTAATCTTTTATTTTAAAGTGTTTCATATAAATTATTATTCCTTTTTATCTTAATTTTAAAATTTAATTTTTGTAATACTGTGAATTTTTTTATTTGAATCTATTTTTGCCTATAGTCTTTGGGCTTTGAATAACTGATATTACATAGCAGTGATACTCGCTTCTGAACAAAAAAAAATTAATAAAGATACTTCATTATTATTGTAGAAAATTTAATTTGTTTCTGAACCTAACATCATTCTTAAGCCTTATAATTATTATATGATTTGAAAGCTTATACATTAGGTTTTTAATGTGACGAATTCTAATCAATTATGTGCAGTATTTTTTTGACAATGCCCCTTTATAGAAAGTTATAAGCGGCCTTACATTTTACTTATTTTTTATTGATTTAGTCGATTATGCACACATATCAGGAAGCTTATGTAACTTGCCTCAAGGCAAAATACCAATACAGACTAGTTTTTAAAAATTAATTGTACGGTTCAAGCTTATTTCAAAATTTTCAGAGAAAATTTTTTTTTTCAAATTTTTTAAAAATATACAAGTTTTTATACTTCAAATATGAATTTTAAATTTATAATTCAGTTTGAAAATGTATATATTTCAAATGCGTTATTCTGATCGTAAGAAATATATCCTCAGATGGATTCATTTTGCACCTCTTGCTAATGTAAACTTTCTCAAGTGCTTTGAGCGATAAGATCGTCACTGTAAATTTATGAACGATAAAATATTTAATGATTATAATTATCTGTTTGAAATGTTTGAAACATTTGTTATTATCATTGATCAATATTTAAAGATTACTAATTTTTTTCTCTCGAATATTTAATTATGGTACGGGAAGTTCTAGCGATTTGCCTTAAGGCACGATGTCATACACCACTAGTTTATATTTTACCAACTACGATCAATTCTTCTTATTTTTTGACCTATAAAATAATTTTAGGTGATGTGTAGATTTCAATATATGTATGAAGTATATGAATAATAATTATCATTAATTATATTCAATATAGGAGCCGCTGATGCAATTCTGGAAGCAATTGAAGCTGAAATGCCTCTAATTGTTTGCATAACAGAAGGTGTTCCACAACATGACATGGTTAAAGTAAAGCATAGACTATTAAGGCAAAACAAAAGCCGATTGATTGGTCCTAATTGCCCTGGAATTATTGCACCTGAACTTGTAAGTGCAATTCTTTATTAATGAAATATTATTTTACATATATTCCGTTTATATATATATATATATATATATATAATATATATATGTTACGGTAAATGTGCATATTTCGGTGAATTGAACATTTACCGGCTCATTTGGCGAATGTGAGTTCAAAACGCGCGCGTGCGCACGTGCGGGTGAAATACTAATTCATATATTTATATTTATATTTATATTTATATATTTATATTTATATATTTATATTTATATATTTATATTTATATATTTATATTTATATTTATATATTTATATTTATATATTTATATTTATATATTTATATTTATATATTTATATTTATATATTTATATTTATATTTATATTTCAATTTATATTTCAATTTATATTTATATTTATATTTCAATTTATATTTATATTTATATTTATATTTATATTTATATTTATATTTATAGTTATATTTATATTTATATTTATATTAATTATTTTAGTCATATGCATATTAATACCCATTATTTATTACTATTGATCAATTAGCAATTTATTTATTAACTATTAACTATGAACTATTAACTATTTAATTAATAACTATCAACTATTTAACCATTAACTATTACCTATTTAACTATTCTTAATTCACTATTTACTAATAATGATTCCCTATTTGCTAAGATCTATTTACTATTTACTATTAACTATTCAGTTATCACTATTCACGATTCACTATTTTACTATTCAACTACTATTATATATTTTGATCAAAATGAACAAATCTTCAACAGAATGTTATTAATCATTTATCACCATAACACCATTTTGGTACAAAATTTGTAACATGCTTGACGTATTTCGCGCATAGTCTTTATTGCGCATGCGTCAAATACGCGAGATGTTCATAAGACCGATCCAAGTACGCACGTACAACATTGTTTTAATTTGATTGCTTGAGAACACGCCACTTTCACCTAGCGTTTTGGGGAATGTGCACATTTACCGGTGAATGTGCACATTCACCGAGAGTGCACATTTACCGTAACATATATATATATATATATATATATATATATATATATATATATATATATATATATATATATATGAGTAAGTTCTTCAAGGGCAATACATCAAATAAAAGGCAAAGATTTAGAAGTTAATCTTTAATTTTTCCAAACGTTTCGACATAGGATTTTATGTCATCATCAGTGGATCTACAGAATGAACATTGAAAAATTAATATAAACTAGGAAAAAATGACAGAAATTGGAAAAAGAAATTAAATATTAACTTCTAAAGCTTTGCCTTTTATTTGATGTATTGCCCTTGAAGAACTTACTCATATTTCTCAACATCAAAACTAATCCTAATAATTTTTGAATATGTATATATATACATGTATATGTGTTGTAATATATGCACATCCATATATGTGCTTATATGTATGTTTTTGTATATACACTATATACATGCACTTGCGTATATGTTTGTGTATATAATTGTAAATACATTAATATATAGATATGTGCATATTTATGTATGAGTATGTAGGTGTGCATATACATGTGCATATATATACATAATATTTCTCAACATTTACTGAAGTAATATTTCCTTTTTTTTCGTAAATTACCAATACAAGAGCCATAAAAAATCATTTTTGCCAAGAATTCCGTACATTGTCCCTTACATCTGGCCGACAGAACTCCATATCAGTGTGTTTAAGTCTTGTGTAGTCGTAACATCTACAAATATCCTCCAGAAAATCGAGTGTTTTTAACAAAAAAATATTAGTGATATGGATATATAAATTATTACAGGTAAATAATTTTTGCTTCTCAATTTTATATAAAACCTTTTTTAGTTAATTCTTATTACTCTTTACCCTGGTACATAATCCATTCCTTTATAAAAAATTTTTTTCTAATTAATCTGTAATGACCATCATTAATTAATGTTAATCAATATTTTTAAAAAACATTGTATTTGACAGAATAAACCTGATGATGGAACGTACCTAGTTCCGAAACGTCGTTATTAAACATCTTCAAAAAACAAATTGTTTTTTATTATTGGATTTACTGTTTGGAAATGAAACAATCAATATATATATATATATATATATATATATATATATACATATATATGTAGTAAATGACCACAGGCAGTATTGCTTTAAGATACATTTATATTTTATATAAATATAATTGTTTTAAAGTGATACTTTTTCAGCAACCATTAAAACATATCATTGGATATTTTTTCAGTGCAAAATTGGAATTATGCCTGGACATGTTCACAAACGAGGAAAAATTGGAATTGTATCTCGGTCTGGAACTTTGACATATGAGGCAGTAAATCAAACAACCTTAGTAAGTTACACAAATACAATATTGAACTTGACTCGCGAAATAAATAGCAAGAATACCAATTTATATTTTAATTATACCATGTAGGTTGGACTCGGCCAAACACTATGTGTGGGAATAGGTGGAGATCCATTTAATGGTACTGATTTTATCGATTGCTTAGAAGTCTTTTTAAAAGATGACGAAACAAAGGGAATCATACTGATAGGAGAGATTGGTGGAGTTGCCGAAGAGAATGCCGCAGAATATCTGAAAATTCATAACTCTGTAAGTGTTCTTATATACATACATATATAAATGTGTATATATATACATGCATATATACATGTGTATGTATACATATATATATATATATATATATATATATATATATATATATATATATATTAGTGATGTGCCAAGTCGAATCAAGTGATTCGAATCATTCGAATCAAGCCTTTAACGACTTGATTCGAATCAGATTTTACTTGATTCGAATCAACTCGTATCAAGCCGCGAAATATTTACTGTGTGCATGTATGAACACAAATTTTCATAAATATAAAAAAAATGTTTTAATATAATTCAATATTATAATAATATATATAATAATAATAATAAATATAAATAATAATAATAATACATATAAAAAATAAATCTTGAATTAAATCATGCGAGTCACCCGGCTTTAATACGCTTAAATGTATCACCCGACTGCACCCGACTCCAATTTATAAGACTTTAACCGCATTCATTGTCTAACAATACCATCCGAGTTCCTATAACTCAAACCGACTTATTCCGACTTCAAGTCGAAATGAATTCATCCGAGTTCCTAAGACTCAAACCGACTTATTTCGACTTCAAGTCGCTATGAATTTATCCGAGTTCCTAAGACTCAAACCGACTTATTTCGACTTCAAGTCGATATGAATTGATCCGAGTTTATATGACTCAAACTGAATCATACCGACTTGAGTTCGAAACATGTGTCCGTGATTTAGCGTATCGACTTATCGACTTATCGAGATGCTGTGCGTATGGGTCTTGAGTGTTTATTTATTTTTGACTAAGCGCTGAGAGCAAATTTGTTCATGAAATATCAAAAACTCATTTAGATAATATTTATTATGCGATTTAGATTTTAATTATTATCAAAATAAACTACACAACGAGTTTTATACACATACAAAATTATCATATTTTAATTATACAAGTAATGGCAAATTCACACAAATGAAATAATATCAATCTTTACAGTAGTGGATTGAATTAATTATTTCACTTATAAAATTATTAAAATGATATTATTTCTTCTCTTAAATTATAATTGTTCATATATGAACTTGATTCGAATTGATTCGAATCATGATTCGAATTATATATATATATATATACATATATATATAATATGGTAATTATTTATTAATAAAAATTTATTAATTTTATGAATTATTACTCATCAATAATGATACGATTACGTCGTATCTAAAGTAATTAAATGATAAACAACGCAGGCCCGCGGGCGCCATGGCTCCACCTATCTATCTAATAAAATATAAGGGGAATATTAAATGTTTTCAAATAGATTATAAATACTGTAACTTTAATTATTCTTGTTTTATAGAAGGTAAGAACTCATGAATTTGACGACGACGTTTATTTAACTTGATTAATCGGATTCAACATGAAGGACATTGTCTAATATTTATAAGAATTATATAAACTGAATTGCAAAGTTTAAATTAAACATTTGAAGTATATAAGTGATGTTTAAAACTTTAGCTAGGATTACAATTAAAATCAGAATTCTTTCAGATATTCAAAAAAAGAAAATTTTTAGAAATTAAAAAAATATACCCAAAAGCAATCGTTTCGTCAATACAAGCAAAAAGATTTTTAAATCATTCAAATCAGATGCTTAGTTTTCTCAAAAACTGGCAATTTTTGCACATTTAGCGTTATATCTCCGAAACGGCGGAACCTGCCTTTGCCAAAATAATAACTAATCACCACTTCTCCCTATCATTACGAATCGAATGTTTGTTGGATCGATGATCAATGACTTGATATCATCTTACATCTTTATTTTGTATCTGCCTCTTGCTCGTTTTTTTAAATTGCTTCGATCATAAATGTCCTAGTCGATGGGGGATACCATTAGAGGAATATAAGATAAGTTATATCAACATGTAATCCAATAGTAAATATTTTTATGTTTTTACGGAACTCTTTCTTTTATTTTTCACATTTTTCTAAGATATAAATATTATTTACTAAATTTAGTATTGCTGTGTGTTATTTTAAATTCTGCAGTTTTTGAATGGATACATTTTTAAGACGGTTTTGAAAAAAAAACTCGAGTTAAAGTGCAATTCATTTGAAAATATTTTTCATTGCAAATTTAAGAGTTTTAATTCATTTCTTGATAAAACCTTGTACAATTAATTGATATCAATTGATATTGAATATTACATATAATGAAAATATGATAACTATTATAAGTCTTATTATTTTAACTATTTGTTTATTTGCAATATTTTTTTTTTAACTTCCCGAAGGAGAAGTTTGTTTTCATCAAAAAATCCGAATTGCTAATTTTATGTTTTCTCGACGTTTCAAGCCATTCTGAATCGAATGAGACCAAATTTGGAAAAAGTATGTGTGTATGTGTGTGTGTGTGTGTGTGTGTGTGAACAGATTTTTTGACGTAAATCGACGTTTTCTCAAAAACGGCTGGATCGATTTCAAAAATTTAAAAGCCATTCGATGTATTTCGATGAGGACTATCGTTTCTCAGTCTTGTGCGACGATCGGCCGAGCCGTTTCTTTGTAAATCGCAGAAAAGTGAAAAATTTTTCGTCCACGTTTTAGCCCGCAATTCTTAATCGATTTTGAAAATTCAAAAACCGTTCGATAGATATTGATTGGGAATCGTGCTGATTAGTTTTTGGTACAGATCGGCCGGGCCGTTTTCTTGTAATAAAGTTTTTTTAAAAAAAAAAATCGACGATTTTTATGATTTTTTTTGACGGTAGATACCATAGTCTTGTAGATCATACTAAAATATTACGGCCCTACGACAAGTCGTTTAATTTTGAAAAATCGTCAAAGTTTGCAAAAATTAGTATCGTTTCTTTGACATTTGACAAAATTAAACCTTTGATCGACGTTTTTTCAAAAACGTCTGAACCGATTTCATAAATTTAAAAGCCATTTGATGTATCTCAATGAGGACTATAATTTGTCAGTTTTGTGAGACGATCTGCCGAGCCGTTTCTTTGTAATTTGAAAAAAAGTGTTAAACTTTTCGTCCACATTTAAGCTCAAACTACCGAATCGATTTTAAAAAATCATAAACTGTTAATATTAGTTGGAAATGATACTGATTAGTTTTAGATGAAAATCTACCGAGCCGTTTTCTTGTAATTAACTGGTGAAAAAAAAATTTAAGACGATTTTCATGGAACTTTTTTTGGTGATATATATCATGGTCTTATAGAACTTACTGAAATATTACGGCCTTACAAGTAGTTTAATTTTAAAAATTAATCAAAGATTAAGAAAATGAGTAGTTTTTTTTGACGTTTGTTAAAATTGAAATTAGACGATTTACTTGGTATAACGATAGAGTACTTGGTCTCAATGAATATACTAAACCATTAAAGTCCTACGGAAACTGGTTCAATTATAAAAATTATTAATTTGTGAAAATTTGCTTTAAGAGAATACCTACTCCGAGTTATTAACGTATTCGTTCGTTCATTTTCAATTATGTGTAATAAATCCACTCGAAATACTTTTATTCACTCATAAATTAATATATTTCTTATTGATTAAGTCGATTAATTCACACATATCGGGAAGTTCATGTAACTTGCCTCAAGGCTAAATACAAATACCAACTAGTTTTGTTAATTAATTTTTACTTATATCTTATTATGTGGTAGTCATTTGTTGTCTAATATTTTATTGACTAATCTTTCGGGCTGTGGAATAAACTCGAAACGCGTTTTTAGTGAAAAAGAAACTGATTTTTTTTAAATAAGTTATTTAATGATATATATATATATATATATATATATATATATATATATAGGTGTATAAATTTTAAATGATGCAACTATTTGTTCAAATATTTATCTCAAAAATAATTTTTAGGGTCAAAAGGCAAAACCTGTTGTATCTTTCATAGCTGGTTTGACAGCACCCCCAGGGCGAAGAATGGGACATGCTGGAGCTATTATATCAGGAGGAAAAGGTGGTGCACAAGATAAGATAAAAGCTTTGCAAAGTGCGAATGTGCTTGTCACCTCAAGTCCGGCGCAAATGGGTACTACGCTATTCAAGGAAATGGATCGATTAAAATTACTTTAACTCGAAATATTTATCATCTTTATATATGTAATGAATCCTCTGTATAAATCAAATTTTGTTCGTTGTTAATTATTTATTTGTGAAAAGATATACACATACACAAACACATACACATATACACACACACGTGTATATATATATATATATATATATATGCATTGTTTTATATTCATGTTGTTAATATTTTTGTAAATTATTGTAATGAAAATAATATCAAATATTGATAACATTGTTACATAATATTTTATGTTAAGCTTTGAGGTATAGATTCGAAACATTAGCAGCCAAAACTAAAATAAGACAAAAACTTAATAATAAATAATAAAATATTTATTGCAGACTTATATGTTATGACTTTAGATAAGTGTTATCTATCACCAGTAGGATTTTATATAAAAACCGATATTTCAGATTTGAGTTAGGTTAATATTAATTTAACGTTTATTATTAATATTTACTTGTGTATTAATATTTACATTCTTGTAATAGTGAAATGAGTTATTCAGCAGAGTTCGAATAAGTCAAATATATATTTAAAAAAAAAATTTAATTAAAAAAAGATCATATATGTATTGCGTAAGTTAAATCTTTAACAAAGTTTTGGTAATCCCGAAATACCGGTGTAATACCAATACCGGCGGTATTAATATTAACTTCCCGTAGGGTATGTTATTGTAATGGGCTGAAAATCGGAATTGAAAATTTTTACATTTCTCGACGTTTTGAACGTTTCTGAACATTTTGGCATACTCCAGAAAAAATGGATGTGTGTGTGTGTGTATGTATGTATGGATACAATTTTTCGTCCACGTTTTCGGGCGTACGGATCAACTGATTTGAATGGTTCAAAAAACATTCGATTCCTATTGATAAGGAGATGTGCTGATTAGTTTTTGGCAAAGGCAAGTCCAGCAGTTACGAAGATAAGGAGCAAAGAGTGCAGAAAATAGAAATCGAGTTTTTGAGAGAACAGAGTATCCGATTTGAATGAACTAAAAAACATTCAGTTAGTAATGATTGGGAGAAGTGGTTGTTAGTCTTTAGCAACGGCAGGCCCAGCCATTTCGAAGATGCGGAGCTAAATGTACAAAAAATGGTAGTTTTTGAGAGAACTAAGCGTCCGATTTAATTGATTCAAAGAACTTTCTGCTTGTCTTAACAAAATAATTGATTTTGGAAAAAAACATTTTTTGTTTCAACTTTTTTTTTTAAAAAAATTTTTTGTATATCGAAAATAATTCAGATTTTATTTTTAATTCTGACTATAGTTCTAATATACTTTAAACAAATAATTTCAACTTTGCAATTCAGTTTATATAATTCTTATAAATATTAGACAATATTACAATATTTATAATAATCTATTTGAACACATTCAGTATTCCTCGAACATTTCGTTACGGTACGGGAAGTTCCAGCAATTTGCCTTAAGGCGCGATGCCACCCACCCCACTAGTTGTTCTTTGAATCCAATCGTTGAGAAGAAGTGATGTATGTTTCTCTAGGTTGTTCTATTATACAAGCGTCGAAATATTACCTTGACCGTCATTAAACTGCTATTTATTGCTAAAGGTAACATGTAACGGCTTTTTAAAGTTGCATGGTCGCTAAACTTATTCATTCAATAATATTCAAATTTAATAAAATATTATTTTACTTAAAAAGTATTTCATTTCGAATATAGTAGCAGACCATCAAATTGTTTTCACCAAAAATACTCAACTATAACTATTTTTTCGGGATTACGATTTCGGGAGCACAAATCAAAGGATTTGAATGATTCAAAAACTTTCGATTCCTATCGATGGGAAGACGTGCTGATTAGTTTTTATATAAAAATTTATCTATCACATATCTTTTAAATTTCTATTTGAATTTCGCGCTTTAAATTGTACAAGTGGCCACAGACTTTTTGACACATGTTGCATATGTATACATTGCATATACATACATACATACATACATACATACATACATACATATATATATATATATATATATATATATATATATATATATATATATATATATATATATGGATTTAGTAGTTAATTTTGATGTTGAAATATGTGAGTGAGTTCTTGAGGGCGATACATCAAACAAAGATATTCTTTGTTTGATGTATCGCCCTCAAGGACTCACTCATATATATATATATATACTAGCAAACCCGACAAACTCCGTTTCGCCACCAGATGGTTTCCCGAGAAAGATGAAGAAATTTTTTGTTTGTTTTATATTTGAAAAGGAAAAATTTGATATTATTATACAACAGTAATGAATTCATTTCGATTACAAAAATGAAGTGTTTTTTCTCTAAGTAAATGAAAGTGAATCCGCAAATTATCCGTTTCATTGAAGTGCTCTTTGGTAAACCACATTTTTTGTTTTTTGGTCTAACGTTAACACAAACAAAGCGGATGGTTTTTCAACTCGTGAACAGGCGACGTATAGCTGCCCATGTGAAAAACAATGATTTTCTAAATAATCTATTTGAAATTTATCCCGCAAACACTAAGCGATTGGCCTTGAGACTTGTTATTGCGAACGCAAGGCGAACTGGAAATTGCAATCGTTTGAAGTCAAACGGAAGACCAGTCGGAATCATTGGTATGTCACCAAATCGTCAGCAATTTTTGATTGAATGGTAAAATTCAGTGCGTGTACATCATTATTCTTTGCGGCAAGAATTGCTCGTTGACTTAACCAAGCATAATTCTGATAATTCTCACAAATTTCATTACTCGAATTTTTAATTACGGTGCGTGAAGTTCCAGCAATTTGCATTAGGGCACGATGCTATGCACCACTAATTTTCTTAGCTATAAGAAGAGCCTTGCGGAGCCCGAGACCTTTCCAACGAATGCAAAATTGTCGAAATCGGTTCGTGCGTTCTGGAGCTATTTCGTCAGGAAGGAAAACCCGACTTATTTTTATATATATAGAAGATATATAGTTATCAAGCGATTTCCAAGGCGGTCAGCAATCGTTATTTTAAAGAGTATGGATTCACTTGTATGAAGTTACTTGAATTTTTGTGCAGTCAATACCCAACTAAGTCACGATATTTGAGAAGATAATTCCAATCATCGTCTTTCAAGCTTATCAATTCATAATATTTCAATACGCTAATGTTGAGTTGACTACAGACAACTGTATCTTGAAGATTATTGACGATTCAGCAGTCTAAATTTAATATAAATTAATTAAAAAACACCAATGCAGGATTTTTAACATTTTCTATTCAAACCACATATTGGCTAAAAATGAACATAATAAAACATCTAACAAATAATAATTTTCTATGCTATCGAAACATAGATCATTCTACATCATCTTCATGCATGGTAACATGAGGACTTGCTTTCTCAAGACGAGACCCAACTTGTGGTAGGCGCTGCAGTAATAAGTGAAAAACTTGTGGTGGCAATGTTTGCTGTAACACCTAGAAAAAATTAAATTATAATAATTAAACTTTTATTAATAGAGGGTTCTGAAACAGAATAGATTATACCTAAAATGAAGGAATGTAGGGAGGAGTTCGGTGAGCAAATTTTTACTTAAACGGATGTAGCTCCCCAATGATAAGTCTCAATAAATTGTTATGTGGCTTGATGCACATGTTGTTTATCACTGTTTTCTGTAGATAATAGCTTACCTGTAGAAGTTGAGTCGGTTGCCCACAAACAGCTACTGCAATAGTTAAATGTTCAACACCACCATCAAGGTCGCCACTTGCAAGTAATTCTTCTCCTAGTTGTACTTCTTGCAAGAAAAATCTGTAAAAATACAAAATCAACTAATATTATAGGTCTATATTTTTAACTTCCCGTAGGGTAGGTTTTTTTGCATTTCTCGACGTTTTGAAGGTTTCTGAACATTTTGGCATACCTCAGAAAAAATGGATGTGTGTGTTTGTGTGTTTTGTATGTCTGCATTTTTCGTCCACGTTTTTGGGCGCACGGATCATCCGATTTGAATGGTTTAAAAAACATTCGATTCCTATTAATAGGGAGATGAGCTAATTAGTTTTTGGCAAAGGCAGGTCTAGCCTTTAGGTTTTTGAGAGAACGAAGTATCGAATTTAAATTTAAATTTTGGCAAAGACAGGTCCAGCCGTTACGGAGATATGGAGCAAAGAGTGCAGAAAATAGAAATCGAGTTTTTGACAGAACGGATCATCCGATTTGTATGATTCAAAAACATTCAGTTCGTAATGATGGGGAAAAGTGGTTATTAGTTTTTGTAAAAGGTAGGCCCAGCGGTTTCGGATACAGAGAGAAATGTGAAAAAAATGGCAGTTTTTGAGAGAACTAGGAGTCCAATTTAAGTGATTCAAAGAACTTTCTGCTTGTTTCAACAAAATAATTGCTTTTGGAAAAAAAAAATTGTTTCTAATTTTTCTGTGAAAATGTTGCACATAATTATTTGCAAAACGGGAGCACTGTTTCAATTTTGTGTAAATTAGGCAACTATTTTTTTGAAATTGAATTCGAAATGAAATGACGATTTTAATGTTCTGGAGAAAAATTGATTTATAATTTTTAAAAAAAAATTGGCAGTTCAAAATATAATTTAAAAACATACATGTATAGATATGTCCAACATTTATATCCAATTTCGATGAAATGCTATATTCAAAATCACTGTTTATAGTTTTAAATCTAATTAAAAATCAATGTTTATAAATTTAAATAAATGTGAGCATTAAAAAAATATGAAATGACATTTGTCAATATTTATGAATATTATTAGATAAATAGATTTATAATTTATATTTATTTCATTTGCTTATCAAATTCATTCAAAACTTCCTCAAAACTTAAAAGATCACAATGAAAAAGCATTATTTAACATTAACATTAATCATAAACAAAATTTTGACAGTTCAAAAAAATTGAATTTTATACTAAAAATATTTTTTTATGGCAAAATAACTTTTGCGGGGCACCACCTAGTATTATAGTGGCGAGCATAGCTCACTTGGTAGCGTGTTCGATTCACACGATAGGGATTTTTGGATCGAATCCTATCATTGACTAGAACTTATGAAAAAAAAATGTAGTTAATTTGAAATTAAATGAAAATTATATTGTTAAGTAGAAATTGAATAAAAATTAA